CAACATGACAATGATCTTGTATCACAACTATTGCTTAATTACCTTTAAAATTCATCAAGTGATCATACTAAATCAGATGATTATGATTTTTTAGGGCAATGCATGAAGAAGAGTTTGGCTTAACAGATCCAAAATTAGAAGCTCCAGCATTGTTAATTATAGGTTGCAAGGATTACATCCTCAAATTCCCCGGAATGGAGGATTACATAAAGAGTGGAAAGGTGAAAGATGTTGTACCTAATCTGGACACTGTATATTTGTCTGAAAGGTCCCATTTTGCTCAGAAGCAGTCGCCTGAGCTGGTGAACGAGCTGATCCTTGGCTTCATCAAAGTCCATAGCTGAAGAGATCATCTCTTGAACCTTCAAATTGAGTCACTCAATATGTATTTAAGGAACTTGGTGATGTTGTGTTATCATGGTTTAATTTGCCAATTATAAAATAAGCATTGTATCATTGTACTCTTGATGATATGAAATGGTTCAAGACGTGGATGCTGTTCTTTGAGTCATATGATGTATTTTCATAGATTGCACATCAGATGATAAGTTATACAATATGAGATATATAGTTCTCCCATTTCTTTAATCCCTTCTCATCCATTTCAAAGATTTAAATTCGAGATCTCTAACTTGGAGTCTTCAAAGCTTACTACTTGTGACACCCTTATACGCTTGTTTGTGGATTGCACATGTTAAGTGTTGACATTCAGTCCTCAATTATTATATAAGACTGTATAACAGTATGAGACCATATATTTTTATTCACATTCTAAAAGATTTTTGAAGTCAACTCACTTAGATCTGTCTCCATGGATCGGATACAGCACAGCTACATCGATGTAAGAGGTGTGAAGCTTCATGTTGCAGAGATTGAAACAGAGTCATAAGTTTCAATTCCTTCTGCTTTGAAATAATTGCATTATAATCCCTCCCGTTCCTTTCATAAGCTGTTTAACTACCTACCTCTCCACAGGTTCTTCAGCAGTTGTGTTCTTACATGGTTTCCCGAAAATTTGGTATTCATGGAGACACCACATGCTTGCTGTGGCTGCTGCTGGATATCGAGCAATCGCCCCGATTTGAGAGGCTATGGAGCCTCTGAGCCTCATCTAACCGGACCCTGGAAAGGCATCCTTTGATGATTTTGTGGAGGACACCCTTGCCATTTTGGATTCACTTCATGTTCACGAGGTTTTTTTGATTTGATCTTTTTAGCTTAACCGCAAGTCTATGGTTTCTGTAGTAAGTGTTGTTTGTCGTTTGGGTACAACTTTTTCAAAAGAGCTGAATAAATTATTATGAATCCAGAAACGGTACATCATAAATCATTTGGATTGTTCCATATTGCCAAAATGGGAACTGTTATGTATTTATATAAGCATAGGTTGACTGATATTTTTTCTACTAACAGGCTTTCCCAATAGGGAAAGATTTCAGATGCTAGGTTGTGTACTTAACCAGCCTTTTCCATCCAGAAAGGGTTGCTGGAGTTGTGTCTCTTGGACTGCCTTTCTTTGTTCCCACGCCTCGAGGGGACCAAGAACTTCCTGAAGGTTTCTATATCTTCAGGTGGAAGGCACTCTATTTTCCATTCATTTTCAAATCCTGTTTGGTGTGGCTAGAGCTTTTACAAAAGTGTTGTTTGAATAAAAATTTTCCAATCATTCCAGGACTCGAGGAGAACCGAAGAAGATTTTGGCCGTCTGGATGTAAAAACTGTGTGGAAGAACATCTATATCCTCTTTTCAAAAAGTGAAATTCCTTTAGGGAGAAGGGAGGGAAATCATGGATTTAGTGGATCCATCCACCTCTCTTCCACCATGGTCGAGTAATGAAGATGTCATAGCCTATGCAATATCATATGAAAAATCAGGATTCAATTCCCCAATGCTAGTCCCTTACAGGTAAAATTCACTTACATTGTGATAAAAATAAATAAATAAATAAGGAAATGAAGAAAGAAAGAACCTT